GCTGTTTGCTAACCTTTTGATATTTTCAGCTTGTTGCTGACACTTTTGATTCTTAAGTTTTACATAGCTTTTTGTTAGTTTTTGTTTTTAGCTGAGCTGCTGCTTTTTGCCAGTATTGAGCTACTTTTCACTTGCCTTGTGCTAATTTTTACCTACTATTCATTTTAGCTACTATCTGTTAGAGGTGCTCGATATTGACTTTTTGTCTATATTCGATATGCCGATATTGTTCAACATTTAATTTCCGATTCCAATATTAACTGATATTACAAACCAATGTTAAGATGACATATCTCCTGTCAGGGACATTATGCCTCGTTTTTGATACCCCACTGGATGCATTCCATAGGTAAACATTGTCTGTACCAAAATAAAAACCATTTAACTGAAGTTTGGGGGAAAGTGCCATATTTATTTTTAACATTTTTTTCTCAAACAATAGTTTGATTCATGCTCTCCCTGAGAAAATCCAGTTTGATGATGTCATCAATCACAAACCAGTGAACATCTCTGCATTTATTAACACATTTTGGTCAAATMYAGGCATTAATTTATCCGGCTTTTGTTATCAKAAGAAAAACCGATACTGATACATAGAGATTTTACATTTTTATGCTAATATCGAACCGATAATATCTGTAGGCCGATTTTATCAGACATTCAGAGAATTTTCACAACACAGAAAATGCAGATTKTCTAGTTTCTCTTTATTTTGGCATAATGTTATGATGTGTTTTGCATTCTTTAGCTGTTGTGTACTGCAGCTGCAGTGTTAGACAGAGCTCATTCTATAGCTGCCATGATGTGACACATGTTAAGTTTACGCTCACAGCTCTAAACATTCTGTGCAACAGCAACAATTCTAATAGGAGGAGTAAAGTTGTAGGTCAGGTTTTTATAAGACACCGCCAGGCCTCTGTGTGACCTGTACACTAATTCATTTAAATTCTACATAATTCAGCTGTTCTCTAACATGGTCTCAGTCATGTCGGCTTCATTTTTCTTCTTACTGTAAAATACAAACTTTGTGCCTAATGTCCCTGCGCTGACTTGGACCAGAGGTAAATATTTGCAGTGACAGTGGCTTGGCTCGGCTTGTACGTGTTCCAGTTGTGTAGGTGGACCGAGTCTTCTGTCCCTGTCTGCTTCTGTCCRTTTGTCCTCAGGTCAAAGCTCAGTCTGCTCATGGTCAACGCTTGTTTGAGAACTRGATCACCTGCTGCATTTCTCAACTACAGGATGGGATATAACCGTGGAGGCAAGCTAGAATACTGATAAATACTGAAGGGAGCCGGTACAGATTTCTAACTTAACTTTATAATAATCTAATCTAAAAACATGCTTATTTGTATATAACTGTACAAGAAGGGGTGAAGAATTTTAAAGTTATTATAGATTAGTACTGATGTTAGAAACAACACAAGAGTATTAGGGTTTCCTTTTTATAATACTTTTATAATGTTTGATCTATTATGTGTTAATTG